ATACTGTTTTTACACGTATTAAACAAAATGCAATTTGATATTTTTATTATATTATTTATTATATATTTAGAAAATAAAAAATGGGCATTCAAACCTTGCTACGTACTCAATGACACCTAAGGTGAACACAAAAGTCACTCCCCAAAGACATTAAGACAAAATCCTAGCTAGCTACTTCTCCACTATCACCAACCTTTGTAGTTTCCAATGCTTATAATTAATTGGGGAAAACTGCAAATTGTTATTAGTAACTCAACAACATTTAATTGTAATTGTAGAAATTGTCAATTAAATTTCCAATCGTGAATATTCTGTTCAAATATGTGTGTTTGTTAGCATTTTTTTGTAATTAGTTAATAATGGATAGTTTTTGCCTGATTTTTACATTTTATTAGGCATGGTTTGCTCGACTTTTATTAGTCAATGGCCATTTTGTGCAATAGTAGAATGTAGGTAATTTTTTGCACCAAGTTACTCAGTTATATATATTTAGCAGTTTTTCCTAATAAATTGACAATAAAATTGGGGGAAAAGAGAAATATTTAAAAAAAAATCTGAAGCAAGATCACGAAAATCATCTTATAAATGAGAAGAGGAAATTATAATTTTTCTTTTATTCAAAAAGAAAAAAGTTTGTAACGGAAGCAGATGAAGAATAAAAGAAAAGATTGTCTTATTAATTAATTATTATAGCTCACCAACTCCGATGAGACATAATTTTTCAAGGATGAAAAACCATGAATAAAGTTACTCATCATCCCTAACATAGGGACAAAAAAAAAATCCAAAATAAAAATTAATCAACAAATCAATTATTAAACTAAGAAAAATTAAATTTCCTATATATTACGTTACGTTATACCTGTTGATGGAGGGCGAAGATGTGGGCCACGCATCCATAAATTGGGTCCCTGAGACGGGCCTGGGCCTCGTAGCAAATAGTGACAACCGCATCCAAGCGGCGGGCCAGCGGTATGTGGAGGAGCAGCTTGGACACGTTGCTGGCCCCAAACACTTTGTGGACCGCCGCAAAATGGGCCGCCCCTTGCTCCGAGTCAAAATACGGGGCAAATATGCAGCCCACCACACACTTCCTCCTCAAAAACTTGCATGCCCCGCATGGTCCACCGGAGCCCGAGCCGGAGCCACCGCCTCCGGCAGCACCGGCCGCCGTGCTGCCGCTAGCCTCGTTGGAAGTACTCATGTATGGTTCAATCGATCGATTTTCTTTTTTCGGGTTTAGCGCAAATTCATGACAAGGGTTTGATCTTTAGGGGAGAGAGAGAGAGTGAAACTAAAGAGAAAATGTGGTGGAGAGAGAGAGAGTTTGATAAAATTTCCTTAACTTTTATTTTGGTTATTTGGGAAAAAATTGGGTAACAATATTGTTTCTTTTGATGGCTTATAGGGTTGGGTAGAGTTGTGTTGTGTAATATAATTTATATAATAATGTGTTGCTTTTGAGAGGTGTTTGTTTGTTTGTTTGTTTATTATTATTATTATTATTATTATTATTATTATTATTATTATTATTATTATTATTATTATTTAAAAAAAACACAAACACACTCACACACAAAAAAAGGGGAATACTTTGAAGCCACGCGATGAAGCAAACTCGCACATAGCTGCTTGCGTGAAGCAAACATGAGATTAAGCCCACCCTTTATAATGTATCCTTTTTACTATTATTTGCCTCGTGAGTTTATTTGCGCCCACGATAAAACTCATGCCTTTCGTGCTCTATCGATCGGTTCGAATATATGTTTTCGAACTTATGTACGCGATTATGATTAGAGGTGCCAAAAAAATAAACAAAAGAAAAATATTATTGCTTGTCCCATTTTACTTATGACCTCTTTACTCGTAAATTGTAATATTCATTTCACCCATAAAGAGAAACTTGTAAGAGAAAAAACCTCTGTGTCTACAAATCATGAGTGGAAATAAATATATATATATATATATATATATATATATATATATATATATATAAGTTATTAAGGTGGCAAAAAATGGTTAGATGATTGAATATATCGTAGGGTTGCTAATTCTCTCTATATATAAATCATTTAAATAAATGGTTAGCGTGTTACTATGGCTGGTTTATGTAAAATATATTTCTTAAAAAGTAAGTGATTTGAGATGTATGTATAGTGACTAATTAATGAGGTTATCTAAATCATTCACCACTTGCTTTTATATATCCCTATTCTGGTTGCAAACTTGAAAAATGTGTGATTTTTACCAACTTAGCAAATGTAGAAATAGATGCAAAGCTAGGGAATAAGATTAATAATAGCTATCATATACTATTAGCATCATTTGTAAAGAATTAGATCAAGCAACTAACACTATCATGTAAAATCTTGAACTATATCTACCGTAGATCCCTATAGTATCTGCAAATTGTCTTATATAAGCTGGAATTTAGATTAGATGAAGAAATCCAATCACCTAACAATCAAAACCGTGGGTGTGTATGCCATATTATTGTGCAAGAATGAAAAGAATGAAGGGTTGCAATTTTTTTTTTTTTTTTTTTTTTTAACTTTTTGTTTTGGAAGAAATGCAAGTGAGATCCAAAAATGCGTACAATGACGTACTTTTTAAAAGATGCCATGCATATAACGAATGCATAATCGGGAGTTTGAGAACTTATGTTAGTTGATGTGGCAAGAGTTATGCAATATTCTAACGAAAAACACTGTCTCGTATCGACTAATCATTGATATCGTAAAAGATATGAATCGATTCTGACTGAAAACGTGTAAGAGAAAAGTTATACTTCGATTACAAGATTCATATATAAATATGATTTTTGTTCACCATCTCCATAGTTGGTTGACAAATTTTCCGCAAAACTCGCAATAACATTTATACTTTGGAATTAAATGATTTACCATTCAACTCTTTTTACCACTTTATAAAGTATTTACTTGCGTATGATGTATTGATTTATGCAAGTGGAATAAGAATTGATCGAAGGGGAAATCAAATACTCATAACTCAACCAAATTCATGTAATTAACCTTTCTTTCAATGCTCACAAACCTAGTGTTGGACTTACTATTTTTCTTGATGGATGGCCCCATTTAGCTAAAATTTATTAACTAATAAATAGTTCTAGAGTATAACATCAAAATTGCCCATTAGCCCCGTATAGAAAAACAACTCGTTAGAAAGAGAAAGCCAAACTCAAAAAAATCAAGTCAAAGTACAGAGTTCGGCGTTCAAATTCAAATTATTTTCATTAATTATTTTCAAATTAATAATCTCACTCGTAACTGAAGGGAACATTGCTTATCCTCAGATGAGTTTATAATCAATACTGTATTTATTTATGTGAATGTTTCAATTCTCAAATTTTATTATTTTCTAAAACATGATTCCAAAAAATGAGGCAACTCAAGCGTGCTTTGTCTGTTGTGTTGGCTTCTAAAACACGTGGTCATGACGTTATCCGCAAGAAATATGCAAATTACTTTGGGCTTGATTGTTTATATATGAATTATTTCATTCCCATTTATTTCATATTCAAAATTTAATTCAACTTTAACTCAATTTCACTATCTTTAATATTATTTATATAATTAAATAATACAAATCAATCATTCTTACACATCACATCAACTTCAATTCACTATTCATCCACTCACATAATTTTAACTACCAATAATTTCCAATCATTTATTTCCTACTTTTACATCAAATCAATTTTAATCATTTTATTTTAAATATTATTATAATATATTCTTAAAATTTCACTAACAACTAACCATACCACTTTTTTTAAAATTAACTATGATTAACTAAAATAATTCATTTTGAACAAATTATTTCATAAACAATCACCCCTTAGATAACTCTAATTCTTTTATCACCTAATCATATTTAAAAATTCATCTTCTATTTAGCCCTCGACTCAATTGACCATTATTGAATATTCTTTAGGTTTTAAAGTATTAGCAATAGCATAATGGTGATTAATTTATGAACTTTTATAAGATAGGGTATTACTCACTCGGTGTGGCCAATCATTTCTAAAGTCTTAAAAAATCTTTAGAAATTTCAATTAAATACACTCTCTTAATAATTATGATGGTTTTTTTATAAGAGTTGTGCTACACTATCCATGATTTTTACATAGTGAATTATTGAATATACACGTGACAAGCATCCATTGCACTTTTTATTATAATATTGTTAAAATTAATAATTCATATAATTTATTTATTAGAAGACTGTAGTAATACATATTTTTGTTCTTAATTTAGTCAAGGCTTGTTTTTGGTTTATTTAGGGCCACATATTTTTTATAATGAGTAGTTATGACAATGATAGCAATCTTGTTTTATCACTTATTGTAATTCGATACTTTATTTACATTGGATCCGTAGATTTCTGTACGGTAAATTGTTTTCTTTCACTGTGGGCTCAAGTATTTTTATTTGGGCAGCAGGCCCATTAAGAGAACATTATTTCCATATGAAGAATAAGACCAAGCCCAAGGCAATTCATGGTAAAATTGAAAATATATGAATGTAAAAGAAAAATAAAAATGTCACGCTATCATAATTATACAATCAATTAAAAAAAACATAACATTGGTTTAAAATATATCATATTTGCACTTATATCAAATACGACCTCTGGCTCATTAAAAAATATCACTCTCACAAAATTTATTATTTTTCTTTTTTACAGTATATTTTATTTAATAATATAAACAAATGAAAACAATAGAACACAAAAAAAAAAAAAAAAAAAATCTCCATCTTTATCAAATATAATCATTTGTACTATTATTTTTTCCCCTAAATTAAGTAACATGAAAATAGATGAATTTATTGATCTCATCAAGAAGCAAGGAATGAAGACATAATAAATTTTGGTACATATAGTATAGGGTTGGTTGCTTGGTCCAAAAACCTATGAGATGGGTTTGCAGATTTGTGGGAAAATTTATGTGCAATCACTTCAAGTCTTCAACTATTTTGATATCCTACTTTTGTCTATGGTCTTACTAAAATTTACTCATCCCAGCACCATCTTATATTTTATTTTATATTTATTACTTTTTTATAAAAGGTGCACAAAATATGATTAACCGAGTCAAACCTACCGGAATCGAAAATTTGGTTTGGACCAAAATCGAAATTGAATATTTGGTTCGATTTTTAGTTTATATTTTTTAAAAATTCGGTTTTCGAGCCGATTTGTATATAAGCGTTCAGTGAACCGAACTAAACCGAAAATCGATAATATGCATAAAATTACAAAACCCAATAGAATGATATCTTATCTCCACCCAAGCCCACTGATACGAAAGAACTTTGAAGAAAAACCAAAATTCCACTAGTTAGCCTAAACCCAAGTTTTTATTCCTACATAAACAATCAAACTAAAAAAAAAATAAAAAAAAATACATATATACAATAGCCTAGCTTAATCGCTCATATCAATTCAAATATTCTCAAAATATGTTCGTCTCGCTCCCACGACACTCGTTTTATTTAACTATGTGTGTATATATATGAGACTTCATAGACTTTGTATACCTAGTGTAATATGTATGAGACTTGATATAATTGTATTTTTGACAAATTATCTTATTTTTATGCGTTTTAGTTTGGTTTTGTGAGATTATTATATATCTAGCTATTTTATTTTTTTAACCCACAAACTTGTAGTTTATTTTTCTTAGTTTTTTTTTNTCATTTCATCGGGTAACGGTCCAACCGATTGATTTTCAACGTGAAACTGAACTGGATTACAAATTTCGGTTCGATTGTCACATTGGACAAATCAGAATTTTAGTTAACAAAAATTCCAATCAGTTCGATTTGATTTGGACGAATTGAACATCTCTACCGCTTACAATTCACAAATGATTCTTTTATTTTCTTTTAGGTGAGAATGCATGCTATAAGTACCTAAAGGCTAATTTTAGGCGGGTTTAACGGTTAAATTGTTGTACATTTTAAATATATACACGTATTTTTAAATCAAGTTTTAATAAAAAAAAAGACTGAACTTCGCTCGAGTCGACGGTGTGGTAGATAACCGTAACTTGGAATAAGAGCAAAATTTATGATTGTTGGACTCAGTCAAACTAGATTACAGAAGAATTTGGAATTAAAAAACAATAATTTAAGGGTGTATGTCCGAAAAAATATGTTGGGATAAATAAAAAAAAAATAT